GGGCTCAAAGGGCATGCAATAAGGACAATATTATGCAGAACAGAAAGGCATCACCTTGTGGCTGCAGAAGGACCTGAAGATTCATTATTTGTGTAATTTTATAATTTTATTTTTATTGGTGTTGCTATCTAACATTAACCAGCTCTCTTTAATTTAAGTATTCATTAACTTTATCATTTACTTTTTTTGGTGTGCATTAGTCTCTTTTCAAAGCAATTTTTGTCTTGTCAATCACTTGTAAAGCACTTTGAATTGCAACTGATTTGTTTCAAATGCGCTATATAAATAAAGTTTGATTGATTCAGCTTTATCCATGATATACCTCTTGCCCAATGTATTTCTTTATACAGGGTTCCCACTCTCTTTTAATTTTCCTGGAGTTTTTCCTTGACAATACAGGACAGCACTTGCTCCCAAACAGTCATATAATTTACAAGTAGTCCTTGTATCAACTTTACCATTTTAATGATGCAAGGTTCTCAATGAATAATGTACACTCTGTGTTTGATCACATTTGTGGTGTGCTTGGCTGTTCTCACCCCAGTCGAAGTGATTGTTACAATTAACATTGCTGTGCGTGTATTTACAACCACAACAAATGTGATCATTAATAGGCTGTTTGCATGTAGATATGAGCATTTACAGCATATCCAATGGGCTCTCTGAAAATTCTGCTTATGACTCTGAAAAAAATAGACTGGTTACTGAAAAGATCTCTGCAAGTCCATTCCACTTTGCATCTGGTGTGAACAGCTACACTGACTGACATAGGAGCCGAAATGAAAAGGGAGCGTTTTTCCAAACAAGCTTTGAAGTGTCATACCGCACAACTCATCCTTCAAACAGCTGCGTTTCAAGCTAAATACACACCCAGGTTTATATATTAAGGTGAGAAGCAAAAATACTATTAACATTTTCAAGAGATAAATTATTTGCAGGATTTTTATTCAAATTCCAGGTGTTTCCATTTCGAAGTTTCTAAATGTCCAGCTTTTCCATGTTTTCCTGGCAGATGCGGGTGGTGTGAACAAGATGTAAGATCATCAGTTTCTGAAGGGACTGATGAGATCAATATTTCCAGTCTAAATGTATATTTGTCCTTTTCCCCTGTTTTTTACTCACATATCCTGGAAGACCGGGGCTAAAGGAAATTTCCAGGGACGTGATAGAAACGAGATCAATTCTATTTGACCTACTTGATAAATTGTATAGCAAGCGAGTGAAACGCAGACTTAAATGCTGACTGACTCCCTGTAATAAACCTGACCCTGCAATTCCACCAGGCACAGCTTTAAAACATCGTGTCTGTGTCACGGTTTTATTCTGTGATCTGCGCAACTTCAAATTCCATCGAGAGCATTTCAGAAGAAAAGTTGTTGCCTGCCATACATTGTTTACTTGTGTATTTTGTCCTCAAAAAAGGAAAGAAAACTGTGTTCTTCTACACTTAAAATGCCTCTGACTGACTGACTTTCTGTATGATGCTACAACATTGATCTAACATGAAAATCGTTCTGGAGTCTGCGCACACATTTTATTTTGAAAATTTACTGGATTCCTTATACCGTTTCTGTGTCTTCCTGCCAGTGCGTTATGCTCTGTGCTGCACGAGTGAGTCGAAGCTTCTGTCAAAAATAGATCAGCCACAAAGCAGAGCAAAGAAACACTTCTGAAATGCATTGTGGCCATGCCTGGTGGGTGAGACACTTTACCATGAACCCTGCATTGCTAAAGAATAAATCAATACTAGGCCTACTGGTAAATTATATAACCGTTTGCTGTCCTGCAATGTCATTTAAAAACTCTTAGAAAAGGTCCTGGAAAATGATTTATTAAGAACAGTGTAACTGTCTCAGATAAAAGAAAAAAGGGCATGGAGTAAGCCAGATAAGAGAGAGACAAAGTGGAGGTAACACGAGCAGAGGGAGGGACATGGCGGTAGTCTGTCAGTGAGATAAAAGCAGACAGCGTTGGACAGAAAAATAGCAACACAAGAGCTAGGTTGGAGTGTTTGTATGTAGGTCAGTCAGCAGTAAGGGACATTCATCCATCAAGACTTTATCAAAAATGCAAGAGCTGCAGCTTTCCTGATTAGCAGTTAGATTAAAGACACACATAGAGTGGCTCTGATCATCTGTCAAACCGCTCGGCTGAGAAGCCACAGTAATGAGGCTGCGTGTGACACACAGCGCACACGTTTAACAAGAGCATTACCAGGCCTCCCCATAAACAGACACACAAACATGGCGTCTCATCACACTTTAAGTCTGTAATTGGTTAAGATGGGAGCCAGATGAGGGTCTCTGTGGCACCAGAGACCCCTGCAGTGACAAGCTTTAAGACTGGGGAGGAAGGGGAAGTGCTAATCCACAATTTAGTCTTTGTCTGTGTGTTTGTGCGTTCACCTGCTGTCCGTGTGGCAGTGAATACATGACATGTCGGATTCTGTGCATTTCTGTGTGCACACGTGTCAGACCTGACAAACGTGTGTGTGTGTGTGTTTGTTTATTTGTGTGTATACATGCCAAATTTTTTTCACACACAACCGCACTTGGGGGTAAAGTCAACCCGTGTTTGTGCTCATATTCATGCAGGAGTCGCTGTTGGCGCGCTTGGCTGTCAAAAAAGGCATACTTGTAAGACTCTGGTTGTGTGTGTGTGTGTGTGTGTGTGTGTGTGTGTGATTAAGTGCTGGGAGAGAAACCGCTCGAGAAGCTCAGGGGAGATGCAGTCAGATAGCGTCTTAGCTACAATACAGTGGGAAAAAACAGCCGGCAGAGAAACATACCGTTTGCCTGGAATCTTCACAACTGATACTCTGTCAACAACTCTGAACTATCTTTACCAGGAGGGATTGGGTTGGGGGAGCAGGTGGAAGAGGGAAAAAGGGAATAAGATAAAATGGAAAGAGAGGGAGACGGAGAGGCTCTGCCAGAGGAAGAGAGGAATGGAAGTTTAGTGACATTTTCAACAACCGACCGAGAGAAACAGCAACACAGAGAATACATTACATTAAGAATACATTGATTTTTATTTTATTATTTTTTGATGATCCACTTTCAATCATAATGTTCAATACCATACATGTTCAAACAATTTTTCATTTACTTTTGAATGAGATGTTTTTATCACAGAGGGAGCAGGTCTTCTTCTGGTGGAGTCTGCCATGTTTCTACAGAAGCCCAGAATGGACAAACCAAACACCGACTCTAGAAAGGGGCATTTTTGATGGTGTAATCTGCAACTATGCCACTAGATGCCACTAAATCCACTGTTCCTATAATGAACCACACCAAATATTAGGGAAGAGTGACTACACCATTATCTGTATCTGTTCAACCAACTTGATGTTTCTCTGAATGGGTGGTGATTAAACCCGATGTGGGCTGGATTAACCAGATGTACTTTAAGCCTGAAATTGATATGGTCTGATCATAGGTTGCTATATTTATTGGAAAACTATTCACAGAACATTTAAAAAAAATAAAAGTTGCTATATTTATTTATTAGAAAACATATATTGACACATTGTACTTTAATGATACCTGTATTTGTAAAAGGCACATTATACCTCATACTCGCTCAATCCTACCAAATGTGTAGCATAACAAAACTACTTTTATGCTATTTAAAGCTACAATATGTAACATTTCCGCAATTAAAACTCTAGAGCTATGTTCTGTATGTAGTTGAGTTGTGTACTTCCATTATCCCAAATGTTTCCAACAATGTCCAAACTCAGAGAAATATTCAGGTAATGCTGCGTTTCACCGGTCGCCTGTCAATGGCGTCATATCCCCTTTGTGCATGTGTCAGCGTTGTGGTTGTCTGCCAGAAGCTGTCATACATTGACTTTTTATCCAGTCTGAAGCCACATTTTTACCATCCACTGTTTAGATCTTGGTGCTTTTTAACTTTTTTGATTCGAACTGGGTGAAAGATTTTAGTCATCAGACATCTGGATCTTAAGTTAACAGAGAAATAAGCTGAGCTAACGTTAGCAGCAGACAACACAGATTTTTTAGGTGGAACTGCTTTAGGAGGAGACCTCTGCAGTTTTTGGTCAGTAGAAACGGTCAGGGTACTTTGAGGCCAAAAGATTTTTTTTTAAATGAGAAAAACAAAACTGGGAAAGAGCTGTTTCCTGACTAGCATTTATAAATATGGGGAACAAAACCAGTCATTTTTTTCTGTAAATATAAAAAATGGAAAATCATTTTTTCGTTTTCTGTTTTTTATTTTCAAAACAAAAACATAAAATGGCTTTGGTTTTCTCATTTCAAAATGAAGATCCGTCGGCCATAAATTACACTGACCAGAAACTCCCGGATATTGAACACTGAAGGAATCCTAACCAGGAGAAGCTGACTACAACTACTACTCCCATGATCCCACGCTAATTCACAACGTCATCAAACATCTTTTGTTATTGTTTTGATGTGAGAGACCCCCTAGTGGCAGAAATTACATATTGTAACACCCCACAAGAGCTGCAGGTTTGGAGATGCTCTGACCCAGTCGTCTAGCCATCACAATGTGGCCCTTGTCAAAGTCTCTCAAATCCTCACGCTGCTCATTTTTCCTGCTTCTAACATCAACATTGAGGACAAAATGTTCACTTGCTGCCTGATATATCCCACCCACTGACAGGAGCCATGATAACCAGATAATCAGTGTTATTCACTTCACCGGTCACTGGTCAGAATGTTATGGCTGATTGGTGTAAGATTGATCTCATCTCACCATCAGAAAGAAAGCAAATAAATGCATTTTTCAGAACTAATTTACATTTTAGACATAAAATTAATTAATTAAGGTCCTACCAATACAACAATTTTTCAGAAAAAACAGGGAGAGAAATTGGGAGAGGATTGGATGAAAGTACAGCGAGGCACAGAGAAAGAGAGAGAGAGAGGGAGGGGGTCAAGGGAGAGAGAAAGAAGCTGAGAGAGGGAGGGACTTAGAGGGAGGGAGAGAGAGAGAGAGCTGAGAGAATACACAGAGAAGAGAAGGGAAGAGAGGGAAAAGGGCAGCTAGAGCGTGCTTTTAGTTCAACAGGGTGAACTAACGGAGAGAGAAAAATCACCCGGAGGGACTAACGTAAAATATTTGGACTTGGTCTATTCAGCGGCAGCTCGGCGGGACACTGAGAGGCTTGTGAGAGGTAACTGCTCAGCTTTTCACTACTAACACCGCTTGTTGATGAGAAAATGAACAAAAGGGCACTGACTCTACACCAAGCCAAGTCTCTGTTGCCAGTTTTCTTCATGACGCTTCATTTCATGTGCCGCGAGTTCGAAGGTTATTCCTGCAGTATTTAATGTGAGAGGTGGGACATTAAGCTTGAGGGGGGGTTGGGGATCTCCTGGGCTCTCTTAAATCAATTAAAGAAGCGACAGCTATAGTAGAGGAGCTGCAATCAGGACATGTTGTGCATTCCTAAACAGGAAAGCCTGTTCACCTTGTGTGGACGCACATGCCTTTGGTTTGAACCCCTGATCACTTTATGCTTGGTTGATCTCAGGAAGTTCAGCGCTCATTTGGCCGGCTGTACTGTAGGGTTTGTCATAGGCTTAGTGGACAGGAGGAGTTAGAATTTAGTGTACAAGGTTGGTTGGCGAACACATAAAGGTGAAGGTCTGACAGTTGAAATGAAAATAAACAGTGCACTGACAGCATTCATTTAAAGATGTAAAAGTTGACTACAACTGGGATCTGAACTGCTTTGAAATGCTGCACTCCCAAAATTACAGAATGCACCTTTAAGCTTTAAGTCATTATCATAGTTGCATTTTTTATTTATCTGTGATGTAATACCTTCCCATTAATGTAATAACCATTTTCCTTTTAATTCCACATTCATTTGTTTTTGTATTATCTGTGCTGTCATCTTACTTTCCAGAAACAGAAGGGTGTAGCTTTGCAGTCATCATTATATTGATGCATTCAATTATTTATGTACATTATATTACATTGATGGCTGCATCAGACAGTTTTAAAATGACTCACCTGCTAAATGAGGAATATTACTCTCCACATTGTTGCTGAGAGTAGAGTAATATCCCTTTTCTCTGTATTGGATGCGATGCAGTGCAGTGGAGTCTGTTTTGGTGTAACTCATTGATTAGAAAGGGGAGAGGTGTACATTGGTTGATGCAACAGGGGACACAATCACTTTTGAGTTTGTTCAGTGTGTAACATTGTAAAACTAAATAGGGATTTTTGCAGAATAGTTTCTCCAATAAGGCAAATCCTTCAAGGAAGTTTCAGCTGCAACAATTTCTACTCAACCTTCCAATTTTGTCCAATCACTGTGACTTTTCCGCAAATTTGATTAATCATAGCAGTTTCTTGTGCAAAAGGTTGAGCCACACGTCACTAAACTACTAGACTTTATTCTCACTGAAACAAATTGCCTTCAATTTGTAATGAATTATTATTAATATAAATGTTTTCGCAATTTTCACTTTCTTCTACAATTTCATACATCTCAAAACATCACAACAAAATGCCTTGAAGTCAGGCATTTTGGAACTCAAAAATACCTGTAAAATCCTTTTAGGAAGTTTGTCAAAGAATACACCACCATATGCCTAAAATTTGAATAAAAAGTATTTTATGCAACTAGACCAGTGGGATCTGCATTTGTATTTATTCCAGTCCCTCAGTTTTCGTTTACAACTCTGCAGTTGCCTTTGATTTTTAAGGAATAATACAAAAAGAAAATTGGCTAAAAAAAAAAACATCACAACAAGCTGCTGTGAAATCAGAAATATTAGGGAACAACAATCCCCAAAAAACCTGTGAAATTCTGGAGGGTCTGATCAGCTTTGGGACAGTATGGTGAGGTGAGGGCGTTGTAATCAACTACACAGCTAGATGCCACGAATCCTACACACTGGTCCTGTAGTGTTCATTCATACATTTTTGGTCCAAATGTGTGCAGCACACACAGTTGTAAACAAAACATATTATTACTTTATGGAGTTGATACGTGTCAAAAAGTTGCCTTTTTACTCATTCAGCAGACACAGAGCCAAATAAGGATCTATTCATTCTCTTTTTAGCTCTGGGAAAAAACATTGAGTCCGCCATGTTGAACCACCATGGGGGATCCCCGGCTCCTCTCGCTGCATGTCGAAGTGTCCTTGAGCAAGACACTGAACCCCAAATTGCTCCCGATGTATAAGTGTGGTGTCCGTTCTGGTGAGCAGTTGGCACCTTGCATGGCAGCCACTGTCATCAGTGTATGAATGTGTGTGTGAGTGGGGCCCATAGAGTCCCTTCTCATTCCCAGGTTGTCAAATACAGACGAGAGCAGTATTCAGTTAGTTGCAATCTGCAACTTCACCACTAACTAAGTCCTACACACTAGTCCTGTATATAAGATTGTCTTAAGCGTGCTCAACTCAGCATGTATTACGATGTAAGTATTCATAATAATATAAAAAAAATAAAATGTGAAAAACAGTAGTTAAATGACAATGGCTAATCCTCTCAAGCTCCCTCTATACTTTGACGAAAGAAGTGTCCATAAACGAAATAAACTACTGTGGCTCAGGTGGTAGAGTGGGTCGTCTTCTGATCAGAAGGTTGGCTGTCCAATCCCCAGCTTGTCGAAGTGTCCTTTAGCAAGAACAGTCGAATGCTCCTGATGTTGTGTCATCAGCGTAAGAATATGTCCCTTAGTTTCAATGCTTTGAGTGGTCGGAGGACTAGAAAGGTGCTACACAAGGACAGACGATTTACTTAGTAAAGTCTTATTATCCTAATTAAACAACTCAGTAAATTATAAAAACAGGTAGTTTTTCTTGTCTTTAGCTGTATTCAGTGCCAATCAGCGAAGAGAGGGAACTGTTTTTAACATCAAAAGATGGAAACGTGGATCAGGGGAAAAAAACCCTGCAACACGCTTGTAGTTTACTTCTTGATATGTTAATGTAATTTGAGCTCTGATTTGGGAACATAAATGTTCAGTTAGCAATCATGATGTTAACAGTCATGAGACACTTGAATAACCACAAGCGCACTGAAAGTAATCTGAAATAAATGGGCAATGAAGCATAACAATGCCACACAGGGAGCAAAGTTGACAATAAAGAGAATGTTTTTGGATACATTGACGCAAGGATTACAATAGGGGCTGTCGCTTGTGTGATTGGAGCTCACAAGATTAGTCAATTGACAATGTAATTGCAGTTGATGAATTGTTTAAGTAATTTATTAAGCACTAATGCAAAACATCCTCTGGTTGCGTATCAGGGTTCCCACTCTTTTTAACAAATTGTTTTCCAGAAGTTTTTCGTGACAATACAGGACAGCACTTGCTTACAAATGGTCTGGTATAAGCTGCGGTTTTGGGCAAATTACTACATTTATTTGGCCACAGCCCATAAGTAACAGTTCAAATTTATTTTATTTTACAGAAAATTAATTGCACATACAGTCTACATCACTGTGCATCAACCATAGCAACAAGAAAGCTAATCATGAATATGAATTCATGAATGGCTGTATGTTTGTAGATATGAGAATTTTGCCTACAGCTCTGGAAAGAATAGACTCAATCCTGGAACGATCACTGTAAGTCAGTTCCACTTTCCATCTGGTAAACCAGCTTTGAAGTGTCACACAGTTTATCCTACTGACAGGTTCAAACTAAATTTGCGCCTAGGTTTAAAATACAAACATTTCCAGGACAACAGAGATTATTTCCAGGATATTCAGTCATTTTGATCAATTTCAAAGTGTTCCAAAGTTTCAGTGTTTCAAAGGTTCCATTCTTGCTACTCGTAATCATAAACTAAAAATATATACTATATGTAAAATAAAGATTATAGAGTTAAAATCATTGATTGATCATGTACTTCTTAATGACTTATGTCATCAATTTTGTTGCAGATTGTACTATTTGTTTGTATTGAGCATTGAGTATTGTAGAGTGGAGTTTTGCAGGAAAACTCAGTAGAGAGCAGATTTAACCTTGAACATACATAGTCCCAAACATCTGAATCGCTTTTAATTGTCTGTCTTTGCATATGTCTGTTTGCTGTCTGTTTTTACTTATGCCCCAAATCTAATTGCCTTTATGGTTTAATCTTAATCCTGTTGGCTGGGGTACCCTCAAACCCCAGAGGGGTAGTACTTTTTGTCATTCCTCTCATGACTTTGTGTTCCTAATGACTTCACATCATTATTTTCTGGTTCTGTAATGGATGGACCATTTATTGAGTTAATTTGTGCCATGTGTCCTAATTTAAAGTAGTTAATAAAGTTGTGTGGAATTAAATTGAAGACCATACCTTCTTGACAGCAACAGACTGAGCATGGACACTGCAGTAGACCATCCATGCTCTCACATTAGAGAGAAAGGTAACACTTTATAATGAGTACACACTATTAAGCATTAGTTAAGCATGAATAAATAATGAAATCGTCATTTATAACGCATGAATACACATTAGTATGTAGTTTATAAACACAGTTAAAAATGTTTTATTCATCATTGATAAGCACATTAGTTATGGATTAGTAAATACTGAATTCATCATTTATAAAGCATGATTCTGCTGTAAATAGTCATTACTATGTGGTTTATAATCACAGTTATAAATGTTTTACTCTTCATTGTAGTGTACATTTCTGCATGCACTTGCACATCCACTATTCAGACATGTATTAATGATTAGTGACTGTGTTAGCAGATGTTCTATAAAACTCACAACAAATTCATTTTCTAAGGATGGCCTATAAACAGTTATTAATGCAGGAATTCATGAATTGAGGCAGTTACAAAGCACTTACTACTCGTTAATTAAGTATTTTGCGTGAGCTCATCTAAAGTGAGCACTATCTATGGCTTATTAATTCAATTCAATTCAATTTTATTTGTATAGCGCCAATTCATAACAGAAGTTATCTCAGGCACTTTTCAAATAGAGCAGGTCTAGACCGAACTCTTTAAAACATTAATTACAGAGACCCAACAGTACCACCATGAGCAAGCACTTGGCGACAAGGGCAAGGAAAAACTGCCTGTTAAAAGGCAGAAACCTAGAACAGATCCTTCGGCTCTAGGTGGGTGGTCGTCTGTCTCGACCAGTTGGGGTGAAAGAGAGAGAGAGAGAGAGAGAGGACAGAGAGAGAGAGAGAGAGAGAGAGAGA